CCCCAAAACCCCAAAACCCCAAAACCCCAACTCACCCTAAGCTTCTAGAATTTACTAAAATTCATGAACTTAAGCCATGACTCAGACTTCCCCAGTGAAAAGTGGAGGCTAGGAAGGAAGAGGGGGTGGGAAGGAGGGGCTGGGGGTGTAGAGCTGAGGGGATGGAGGATTGTGGGGTGAATGAATAACATTGGGAGGGGAATTTTAGGGAATTGATGGTTGTTTGGGGGGAATTTGTTAGGAGGATTTTTTAGAGTTGATTGGGTTTTGTGAAGGGATTTTAGGTAGAGAAGTGTCTTTGTAGGTTGGGTGTTTTGGGAAGTTTTTTGTATTTGAAATTATTCTAAATTGTTAGGGATGTGTGAGTTTATAGAAAGTTATAAGTTATAGGGTTCTTGAGAATATATTTCTTAGCTTTTATTTAACTTTAAGATATCTTCATCTTTTATACTCTTCTCTTAAATAATCAGAATAGTGTCTGGAAAGTAATGCTCATCGACCCTTCGATTTTCTAAATTATTGAATCTGTTTAGAGGATATTCCAATCTTTTCATAAGTGCTCCAAATAATAATCTTGAAGATAAATATAATCTTGCTGTTCTTCTAACAAAGAGCCCAGACTTCTGTAGTTGAATTATAGCTTCCCTTATAATGTCTTCTTTAATGAGCCTTTAGAATATTAAAAGATCCAGTAAGTACATCCATACTCAACAATTTCAACCAAAAACACCTTTTAATCTCAAATACTAATTCCCCCAAAAACTCACCCTAAAATCATCAGAAATGGCCGAACTAGACGATACTGAGCAAGCATGTACTCAGCTGACGGCTTTAACACTTCAATCTTACAAATTAGATAACACAACCACTAATTAAACTCACAAAGAAAGGTAACATCTCTCCACATACATTTCTGTCTATCCAAGAAACATTTAAACCGCAATTAGAGCCCCAGATTTTAACTTTAAACCTGAATCTAGATTTTTCGAAGAACCTAAGGACCACAGGATGGAAATTGGAATATTAGATGATCGACGGATACAGAATAGTAAGAAAAATAAGTTATACAAGTGATAATTGATGAATAAATCATACATTTAGAAATAAAAGAGCCCTATCTTAAACTATGAGAAACTTGAAGAAAGAAGACTATTCTTACAGAAAAGTAGTATTGGATTTTCATAGATAAAAGAGGCCTTAAAACAGGAAACGTTGACTGTTATTAGATAAGATATTCCCTGAAATAAGAGTTGCCTTATCCTCTAGGTATCAGTGTATTACTTAAAGCTTGTGACCAGGGAGAATTTACATTTAGTCTTAACAATAAAGAAATTACATAGAGATATCTAATATCCATAAAAGATCAGAGAAGAGAATTAATAGTAGCTGAGATATCCCTTAGAAATAACATACAATGAAAACCCACTTCTGAAGTACTTAATAACCATCTTTACAATAAAATCATTTTTGAAGCTTAAGCCACCACTTTAATATTTCCGCTTCTCTCCAATCTATATAAATCCACTTTCCATTCCTTTAACTACCCCAAAACCTAAACCACAAATCACAGACCAACCTTCTTCAATAACCCCCAATTCCTTCTCTTCAGCACCAAAACCTCTCCTTTCTCCACTATAAAATCCAAGAATTTCAGTTAAAAATGAACTTCAAATATATTTTTACTATGTTTTTAGTCCATAAAACTGGCATTTAAAGTCCCCTCTTCCATGTTTCGGTACACCTCTAGGAGTGCAAATCTGTCTGGTTAAGAAGATAGGGACTGGGATAGTAGGATAGGGGGTTAAGAAAGGAGGAAAGAAGGATTTTGGGGGTAAAGAATTTGAAGCGAATTGGCTTACAGAGGTGAAATTTAATCAGGAAATAGGGGGTAGAGAAGGTGGTAGGAATAGTAGAGGGATGGAGAAGTTATAGTGGAGTTTGGGGGGGAAAAGAGGCTTGGGAAGATAACCAAAGAGAGTTGAGAATTAAGAAAAATGACGCCTTGTTCAGCGATGATCTGTATTTTAGTGATTTGGAATTGTTATTATTATTAAAACTCTTTGAATTGTTGGATATAAGTTTTACAGAGAATACTTTTTGTAAAAGAACCCTCTGTTCAGTAACTCACTTTTGTTTAGACTTTGTGTCAAAAATTTAGGAAGAGTTATGCCAATCATCAGATATATTTTGTCTGAAACTTCCTGACCAATTATGACATTAAGGCTTTATCTCTATTTATATTTAATCTATTCTTTGAGAATAAAAATTATTTTTAATCATCAAAACCCCTGTCTCAATTCTCAACCATAAAAATCTTCCTAAAACGTATCCTGATAAATTGCTACCTGAGGCTTCTAATCTCACTTAGTATTGCAACAACTTTCTATTCTAAAAGTCATACTACTAATATTTAAACTAAGCATTATAATTACGCTAATTTGGAAAGGGGTTTTGGGGTTTTGGGGTTTTGGGG